AGGAAAATGTCTACTTGTGTTGTTTCATTCTTGATGGAAATATTGAGAGCAGGAGAGGGGATAGTGAGGAGATATAGTTTGTTGATCTCAGATGGCAACAATCTGTGCTTGTGATCTCCTCAATCTTCAATGATGTAGGTTGTTAATGTAACTTGTACTTTGGGAGCGGTTTGTTTTTGATGAAACATCATGACAGCAATGTTCTCATATTTCATTTTACTTTTACAACGCTGGTGAAGCGAAAGCAGCGAATGTCAATATCAGACAATCCCACTGAGAATTTCATTTCACCACATGAGTTTTCATACATACATACCCACCGGGGAGGAAAATTTTGATGTCCAGAGCTGACTGGAGCCACATGATGAAAAAGAAGTTTGACAACTTGTCAAGAGCTCAAACCGCAGGAGAAGCAAGAGCCTCTCTGTCTTCAGTGAAGCCTTGCAAGGCGATCGGCTCGCAATGCAGCAACAACGGAAGAGCACTGGAGACAGTGGAGAGGAACGACAGGGTCCTGGGCGGTGCAGACATTCTGAAGACCGAAGACAACTCTGTGATTACACGTCATGTGGTGGAATATGGACGAGGAGAAGACGACATGAAGCAAACGATAGATATCATGGTGAGATGAATGTAGTGGGTGTAGTAGTACTCCAGGGAAGCTAGCTGGAATCATACGAGTCAGGGGAGAGAGAAGAAAGGAGAGATAGGAGACTAGAACAGGAGAGGAGAGGAGAGGAGAGGAGAGGAGAGGAGAGGAGAGGAGAGGAGAGGACAAGGCGAGGGCAGAGGGCAGTAAATAGGACGAGTCGAGAAGAAGGTAGTCAAAGACAAAGGATCAGAGGAAGGGTTATCAAGCTCACTCTTTCTTTTGCGAAACACCATGACGGCATCTTTTGCGTCCGATACCTGCAGTTTGCTATCTCGTCTTTCACTTTCTTTGAACATCCCTGTGGGATCGACAACGATCAAGGCAAGACAACGATCATGGTCAAGGTCAAGAGGAAGTGCGAAGATAGTGAGAAGAGGGGGAGAGGAGGGAAGGAAAGCTGATAGAAGTCGTAGGTGGATGGGGAGGGAGGGAGGGAGGGAGGGAGGGAGGGAGGGAGGGAGGGAGGGAGGGAGGGAGGGAGGGAGGGAGAGAGAGGCAGGAAGAAGAAAATCCGTCAACTCACCGCATCACTGCAAGTTTGTCCCCAAGAGATTGTACAAACACGTTCAGAGAAAGGCAAAGACAAGAAAAAAGTCTCACTATGATATCTCGTCCACGTTCTGCACAAACATCATAACAACTGTCGATCTCAACACCATCTGATCATCAACTTTCAGCCCCCGACGATCTCTCAACAGAGGCAGCACCTGAACGTCGTTCTGAGTGAGAATAAAGTGACAACCAACAGCCTTGAGCAGATGGTGAGAAGACGCAGACGATGACAACAACAACCGTAAGAGCCAGCCAGGTGATGGCGTTGGTCGTGACTGCAAGAAGAAAAACTGCAGATCTGTCTCGCACTTCACTCCCTCCCTCTCCTTCGCTCTTCTCCTCTCACCGGGTGATGCTGGAGATGTGGATGGGGTAGATGATATCGTCTTCCCCTTCCTCTCTCCTCTTCTCAACGCTGAACAGACAGACCAACATCGCTGTCTTGAGACGGTTGATCGCTTGCGTCATCAGCGTCAGGTAGACTCCAATGGCCGCGAGCTGCAGGGGGATGGGAACGTTGCAGAAGAGCGAGTCTCGCACGGACGGGCATGACTGAAGGACGAGAAGATCATGAGACGCAACGTCCGCGAGGCAACAGATCAGGCGAACCTGCCAGAGGTACCACGCGAAAGCAGCTTGAACGAAGAAGGCGAGGAGAATCATCTGGTACGCGTGCAAATCATTCTCCTCCTCACCCTTCTCCTCTTCCTCCTCCTCCTCCTGCATCCCCCAGCTCTTCCTCCCTCCTCCTAGCCTGCCTCCTAGTGTTGTTCCTCACCGGACCAGCTTTGACGATTGCATTGAATAGTCCTTCTTGAAACGCAAGGTGAATAAAAGCACCGTACGCATTCTCCGAGTTCTGAAACCGACATGTCAGTAGCAGCAACGACGACGACGACGACGACGACGACAACAACAACAACAACATTATCATCATCACAGGGATTTGAAATCGGCAAACACAACTCTATTTGTGCCTCACGGACCTTCTCCCACTCCACTCTCTGTACATTTCTGAACCATCTCATCCTAGCAACCCTCCGCTCGCTACCATCATATCCCCCTAAACCCCTCCTTCATATCAGAATCCTCTCTCACCTGAATCCACATGGTGAGATCTTCGTCATCCTCCTCCTCAGCTCTCCGACCGTCTTCAAGCTCCTGTCAGATCAGACCCTTGTCAACACATCGCGTCAACAGCTTGATGAAAGAATGCACTTGTTCCAACATCCCTCCTCCTAAGCTTCTGTGCGACATTCGTGATGGATTAATGTCTGCAAACGATCTTCAAGGGGAGAACAACACGAGCATCGCTTCATACGCGGAGAGTGTGTTGTCAAGGCTCCTGGCCCAGCTGAGAACCTTGATCGACTGGCTCTCATGCTTGCTTGAAGTTTCGATGGTCGCAACATCCGCATCTTTCCTCGCCGTCACCTTAATCTCTCATCTCCTCCTCCTCGCACCCTCTGGATCTTCGACGTCCGGATCATACCCTTCGGCTCCTCTCCATCATCCTCATCCTGACCAGAAGCGTCAAGTCTCGTTCGCCTGCTCCTCTCCCTCGTCCGTCCGTCCCTCTCCCCCCCGTTCCTCTCCCCCCAGCTCCTCCGGCCTTGTCCTCCTCAGGTGCTTCACCGATTCGAAGTCCTGGTCGCTTCCTGTCTTCTTGGGCATCACATGCATGATCGACTCCTCCTTCGGGCCCGTCATCGCTGGTACCGACAAAGAGTGAAATCTTACAAGGCTGTGTGAGATCGCTTCACTCGACTCTGACTGGACTGATGGTCAGCGCACTGCCACCAACTTCAAAGATTGTCGAAAACTCACCAAGTCGTTGTCAACATGCATCGGCGTCTTCTTCACTCGCTGTGGCAGGATAGATTTCATGTCAAGATGGAACTGAACGACTCTATCAGAGTTCGACTGTGTAGCTTTTGAAGCATGAAGAATTACGTTTGCTAGTTGAGCTTCAGAAGCTTCGCTCTCGCCGTCCCCTTCAACTCTCCTCCCCTGTCCGCCCAACCCTTATCTCCCTCCTCTCCTTTCTCTCCCTCCTCTCCTTGCCTGATAGTTCGCCCTCCTCCCCCCGTTCGCCCTCTCCCCCGCTATCTCTTCGACTTCCTGCAGCCCCAGTTTCTCGTCTGCTCCGACATACTGAAGCTTCAGGCCTTTTCCTCGTGCAAGCACGATCACGAGAGATTCCAGCACCTGCGCAACTTGAATGAAAGCAGTGAAAGCAGAGGAAGTAACAGTGTCAAGTAACGGGGATGGAAAGACTGAATCGAGGCAGAACGGTGGTCTTACTGAGATTCTTGCTTCTTTATCAGCGTCCTTTTGTTCCAGCTCAGTGATCTTGTGCTTTAATGCGGTGACATACTTGTCAGGCTTCACTTCCGCCGTCTGTGGGAGGAAATCAATACAACACACATCAACAATGATGGTCGTTCACTGCGGTTGAGTGGCACAAAGTTGCAACAGCACTGAAGTCTGCTGTTTGATTTGGCTTCGTAGGATTTCCTGAGTCACAACATGATCAGCTCCTCTGCCTCACCATCTCCTAGACCGTTGCTCCTTCACAGTAACGATAACTCCCTCTCCCCTTTCTCGCTGTCCCATCTTGGTCCTTACCGTTCCGCGGTGTTGGTTGCGCGCTGTTAGGATTGCTTCTTAGCTTCGTTCGAGGGCTCAACGAAATTTTCGTTTGCTCTACAATATGCTCCCAAATGTCCTGCAGAAAGGTTTTCAGTGGATGCTCTCCACCTTCGCCCCTGATCATTTCTGCTCTCAACAAGCACACTGCTTCCTCCCCCTCCCTCCACTCCCCTCCCTCCTCCCACTCCTTCCCACTCCTCACCGATGGTGGCGGAGTTGCTTCTGCATCGGACACCCTTGGTGTAGTTGACCTTGAAGATCGCTTCCCTTTCGCCACCGCCGTGCTCTGCGCGTTCTGCCATGGCCTCTACTCTCACTCTCTCCTTCCTCCCCCCCCCTCCTCCTCCCTCACCCCTCGCGCGCTCCTCGGCGTCGGCTGCCCCGCGAACATCTCCACATCCCACTGCTCCGTCTGCCGCCGCGTCACTCCCTCCCCTCCCTCCCCTTGGCGTGCGCTCACCTCGGATGTAGCAGGGGAGGTGCTGGAGAGCTTGCTCCTGGCCTTGCGCAGTCCCGAAGTCTGCGAGGACAGGGCAGGGTCAAGTGAATGTTGAAGGAGGAAGGGGGAAGGGGACGGAAGGAAAGCAGAACGTTGTAGATACAAATCAGAGTGGCAGGGAGAGAAGGGAGAGCAAAAGAGATGGTCAAACGTATGTAGAGAGTATAGGAGGCTATGTCTTGCAGTGTTTGAGAGGTGAAGTAACTCAGTGACAAGGCTTAGCAAGATCGGCTTGCTGACACGTGTGTGTCGGAGGTGACGATCGAGGTGGGCAATATGGTACAACTCAGCCATGGTGGGGGAAGGAGTCAGCCATGGAACGAGGAGACACGTCATGAAAAGGACGAATCTGCTCATCACGTTCAGCTCGGTACCGGGAGCTCCGCCATGGAGGCGATATTTGACCTTCTGCCGAGGAATAACAGGAAAATATGCTATTTGTACCAATGATTTATTGAATTGACACTACTAAGAGAAATTCGACTTATTAAGTGAAATGGTAGCAATTTGAAACAAGGGTCGGAAGGGGTCAATTTCCCTACAAATGACGGGGTACTGCATGCAGACTGGGGAGCTGACAGACATGCAGTACCCCATTTGATCAACCAGAAAAGGGGGGTAGTGGTGGAGGTACAGTTGTATCTCCAGTGCAGTTCCGACCCTTGATCCTTTTTGATTATAAATTTGTACTGTGTAAGGAGTTAAAATGTTATTGAAATATTTTGTGTTATAAATTGGTCATATCCCGGTGACCAAGAAGTTGTACCAAACTTCTCTTCTAAAGGCTCCGGGCCGCCGGGGTCACGAGTCACTCACCAGTGCAGCTCCGGCACCAGATGCTCGGGCCCGGCCCGCTCCGAGCCGCTCGGTGCGGTGACGCCGCGGCAAGAGGCTCTGATCCGATGATCAGTCCGACACTGCGGACTGGCGGCCGCGGGCCCGGGGGGCGCGGCACTACTCAGTGGCTGCCAGTATATCCGAAGCCTAGAAAATGCCCAAACCGTGCCGCAGGCTCCGGAAGCGGGCCCGGCCACCGGGGGCTCGGAGTCACTACCCGGCGTTCCGTGTGACGGTGAAAGATTTGCGGAGTGGCAGACCCGCGGCCTAACTGACTTCCAGAGTCACGACGCTCAGTAGCCCAAAGACTCTGTGACTTCCGAAAGGTTTGAGGATTCATTTCTACTCATGAGCGAGCAAATCTCATTTGGCAAGGATAGGCAAGACACTATGAGAAAGCTCCATGAGGTCGTTAGATTGGAATGAGAGCTCAGGAGATAGGTCCTCCCCTCTCAATCCGCCCTCAGACCACCTCGCGCTGCTTATCCTCTTACTTGGCTGAGAAGGGGTTGAGGCTAGGAACGCCGGATTCCGACCTAGTGCCCTCGGAGAGCTACAGAGATTGGAGGAAGGAAGAGGATCAGAGAAGAGATACGAGGAGAAGCGAGCCTACCTTCTCGATCTGGGCGTCTACCTTGGTGCTCCTGCTCCTCAGCTTTTGCTCAAGGCTGCACCATCGACAGTATTACAAAGTCTTGACGAGGAGGAGGAGGAGGAGGAGGAGGAGGAGGAGGAGGAGGAGGAGGAGGAGCTTACGAGCTGATTTCGTTGCTCTCGAATCTCTCCTTGCCCGTGGCACCTGGGAACGTCATTTTCCTCGTATCAGGGGGAGAGGGTCTACCAGCGACGGACTGCCTTCCAGGCCTGCTCCTCTGCAGAGGAAGACTCATTAAAAGGCAAGGCAACAAGGAATGGGGTAGTCAAACCTTAGGAGCGTCCAAGTTGAGCTTGACGCCCTCGGTTTCAGACTGCAAGACAATGAGGCTGGCCCAGCAACAAAGTTGCGGTTCTCAGAGGAAGCAAGAAGAATCGACGCGGATGAAGGTGAGTGGAAATGAATGGAAATGACGACATGAATACAGGTGAGCAAGAGGACTAGCAGGATCGAACCTCAGCCTTTGGCTCTTTGGACTTGACCTCGCCGAACTTGGGCATGCTCATCTGGAATCAACAACCGATCAAACACCCTGGAAAGCTTGATCGAAGGTCGTTTCACCTTCCTTGCTGGCTTCGGAGCATCTCCTTCTTCTTCTGAGAGAGTAGATGTGTCAGCAGAGGATGGGAGGACGCAATTTCAAGTTGCAATCGTTGAAAAGAACTTCATGTCTGAGCGCAAACTTAGTACCTTGAGCAGCCTTCTTCCTCTGGGGTCCAAGCTTGGGCACCGTGAAGCCTTAGATGAAGGTCACCATCATCACCGCGATAGTTTCTGGAACCGCTCACCAGGTTTCTTGCTAACGGGCTCCGGGGCAGGGCCGTCAAGATCTACCCCGAGATCCTTGGATGCCTTTGCGCACCGTGAGGTCAACGAGGTTCGCAACAGTTCAAAGTCACCTTCTTCCTGGAAGCACTCTCTGTGATCGACTGGAGTGCCGGCGGCATCAGGTTGAGTCCTGCAGCCTGACATGTTGGCATCAGCAGGACGGAACACTGACATAGGCACCCACATCCGCTGACTTGGCAGCGAGCACTGGAAGAGTGAGCAGGGTTGATGCGATTGCAGCCCGACGACTCAGCCGCTCCTGAGCAGCAGCAGGGAGCTTATCAGCACCATAACAACATGGTGTTCGACTTCATACCTCTGAGGACATGGCGAGCGAGGCGACATTGCATGCAGCTCCAGCTCGAGCTGAAAAGGGATCAGATGGTTTGTACGAGGACAAGAAGAATAAGAGGAACCGGAGACGGGCTTCAAAGCAGGAGAGCTGACGTATGCCTGAGTGAAGGAAATGGATGTCAACCGGCCAGCAGCCCTTCGTTGACATTCACCTCAACCGAGGAGACTTGGCAGGACAAAGCTGCAGTAGCAACGATGCCAATGGACTTCCAGGAAGGCATTCTAGTTTCTGGGATAACAAAACGTCATGATCAGGTAGAGCAGGATCGTCTTCCTTCTTCATTTTCCTTACATCTTCTTTACTAGATTCCTGTCTGACAATTCTTCATCTCATCCCTCCTTTTCAAGCCTCCCGGATCTGCTTTATTCTCTTCTCTTCTCTTCTCTTCTCTTCTCCTCACCATGATCCCATCTCTCATCTTCCTTCTCTCCTCTCTCCTCTCTCTGATCTCTATTATTATTTGAGTTTATTAGACTGTTAGTCGAGGATTTCATACCTAAGAACTATTGCTCTCTGCGCATCTCTCGCCTATTTATCCGTCTAAAGGGGTTCCCAACCTTGGGAGGTCGGCCCTTTGCCGATCTCTAAACCCTAAATCCTCTAATCTCTAAATCCTAAACCCCAAACTCTAAATCCTCTCCCTATCTCTCCTCTACTCGCCTCCCCTCCACTTAATCTTCCTCCTCCTTCTCCTCTCCCAGCCTTCACTCATCCTCCCTTCTCTTCTGTGCTGTACTGTTCTGCCCACCACCTTACCCCCCTCCCCCCCGCCCCCCCTCTCCTCCTCTTCTCTCCTCTCTCCCTCCTCCCTCCTCCCTCCTGTCGCCTTGTATCGCCTCTCGGGGATCGTATTTCGTCAGCCATCTTCTGACATCTTTTATGCCTCATCCCCGCGCAGGTTTCTAGGATATTTCTCTGCGACTGCTGTTCTAAATGACACTGTCTCTGATGCAAATTCTAGAACTTGTCCTAGATTTGACCCAGTTTCTGCAATTTTACACAACCCCAATTTCGACCACCCCTACCCCCATTTTCACTCACAAATATATGGATAGTACCCGGTACTTCAGTATCTGGCTGGTCAGTCCACCTCCTTTCCTTTTCAATAGGCGTAACTCTACGACAAATTACAGAAATGGGAGTAGGCGCAGGCGCACGTAGAAAGAAGCAGCAGGAGCAGCAGGAGCAGCAGGAGCAGCAGGAGCAACAGGAGCAACAGGAGCAGCAGGAGCAAGAGAAACAACTGGAGCAATAGGAGGAGGAGGAGGAGGAGGAGGAGGAGGAGGAGGAGGAGGAGGAGGAGGAGGAGCGACCTGAATATTGGCAGGAAAAATTAGATGAGAAAAGAGATTGAATTAGTTTTCAGACTGAGATGGAAACGATCTAAGGGGATGCCACCTTGTAGAGCAAAACGGCGAACAGGAAGATTTGAGTTTGGAAGCCAAAGTATCGACGATAGCTGACGAAAAAGTTTACAGGACCGTCCAGAGGGCCTGATTGTCCTTCCAGAAGGCTTTCATTCTCCAAAGGGTAGATTATTGAACCTGATCGTGAGATTGAAGATGCCAGAATCTGCTGAGCTGGTTGATTGATTGCATGCACAATGACTTCATTCTTTTTCGTCATTGATTTGTGCTGGTGATCGCTTTCCAACCATGAATCATTGGACAACTTCGATCAGCAAGAATGCTATTGTTGAAGGAGGGTTAGTGCTGGAAAGGGATACAGAATCGCCACTGCACACCTTGACCTCATCCAATCAACTTTCGTATGAGATAGGTGAAGCTAAATCCACTGAATCAGAAGAAGATGTTCGAGTCGATGTCTTCTCAACAGAGTTCGTCGATATTCCGCTGTCAAAGACTTCGTTAGCAAGAAGCCCCAGCCTCAAGCATCGATCTAGACTCCTCAGGAATTTTGTCGGCAATGAATCAAATCCCATCGAAGTTTCTTTCTGGAACTTGAAGATGGAGGTTCCAGATGCAAACGCTCGTGTCGGGCTCTGTGCCTCCCCTCCCAGGAAGACCATCCTCTCCAGCGTCACTGGCGTCTTCGAGCCGGGAAAGTTCACAGCCATCATGGGGTCGAGCGGAGCAGGAAAGACGACGCTTCTCAACGCAGTGGCAGGGGAGGCAGCAGGCGGCATCCTCTCGGGAGCTGTGCGGTTCAATGGAGCCAAGGTTGACACAGCTACGATCCGCAGGCTTCGCGCTTTTGTGTTCCAGGATGATGTAGTGATGGGTACCATGACAGCCTACGAGGCTATCAGCATGTCGGCGAAGCTGAGACTTCCCCCGGACATGCCGCTCGAAGAGAAGATGAGGCGAGTAGATCAGGTGATTGAGATTTTGCAGCTGGATCAGTGCAAGGACAACGTGATAGGCTATCCCGGAGAGAAGAGCGGGGTCTCAGGAGGAGAGAGAAAGCGTATCAACATTGCCATGGAGCTTATCACGAACCCTTCTGTGCTGTTCCTGGATGAGCCAACTTCCGGCTTGGATACTCATACAGCACACAGCGTCTGCAAGACGTTGAAGGAGCTGGCTGCTGCTGGCAGGACGGTCGTTGCGACGATTCACCAGCCGTCCTCGGACATCTTCCACATGTTCGACAACCTGCTCCTGCTCGCCAGTGGTCGCATCCTCTACCAGGGGCCGTCCAGATCCTGCATGGACTACTTTGCAACGAGAGGCAGCCCATGTCCTCAGTTCACAAACCCGGCCGATCACATCTTCATGAAGGTCCTCAACGATCAGCTTGCCAGCAGTGAGCTCGAGCGCAAGGCGAAACGAGAGCAGATCGAGGGGTTGCTGTCGGAGTATGCGGAGTCTTCGACGTTCAAGGACATGGAGGCCCGCGTGAAGGTCCCAGGAAGCGGAGTGGACAAGAGCTCTTCCAGCTTCTCTCCCAGCCTGCTGCTCCAGATGAGCGTCCTCTTCGGCCGTGCAAAGAACAACGCGATAAGAAACCGGCTGATTCTCAGGGCCAAGATCGGCCAGTCACTGTTCATGGGGCTTCTCATGGGGTTGATCTATCGTGACTTGCAGACTAACCAAAAGTCGATCCAGGTCAACCCTGCTGCGATCTCATTGCGATGATTGAAATCTTCTGAGTAGAATCGGACCGGGGCCCTCTTCTTCGTATCTGTTAACGTCACCATGTCAGCTGCCATGACAGGTGGTCGCTCTAATCTGAAGTTAAAAGTAGATGTGAAAGGAGAAGATAGTTAGAGCCATTTACATTTCAAAGATAGATTAGCAGTGAAAGAGGTATTGACTTCGACCGGCTGATATTTGAGCAGTCATCTCAGCCTTCGGTGTCGAGCGAGTCGTGTTTGAGAGGGAGCGGAGCATCGGAATGTACAGGTGGGTGTGACAGAGGAGGAGAGACAGTCGACTTAACTTGAGTTCTGACAGCACGTTTGCATACTTCCTAGCAAAAATCATTGTCGAGCTTCCTCACAACATCATTTTTCCGTTCATACAAGCGAACATCGTGTACTTTCTGCTGGAGCTGCAGCTGTCAGCGCACCACTGGATCACATGGTGGGTTGTTGTCTCTCTCTCTCTCTCTCTCTCTCTCTCTCTCTCTCTCTCTCTCTCTCTCTCTCTCTCTCTCTCTCTCTCTCTCTCTCTCTCTCGCCCAGCTCATCATTTTTGAAGGTGCGTTATCTTTTCTATGCTCAATAACGTCGGGAATGCTCTTGGGATCTGGTGAGGGTTGAGAGGTGGAGTGTGTGCTTGTCGATGACGCTGTCTACTATGACAGCCTCGCTTGCTTGTTCAAAGATCTTGAGGCCACTGTACAGATCGGTGAAAGAAGTCAGGATTGATTCATCTCCTCATGGTGTTTCTCAGCTCCCGTCTTCATCCTACCGCTCACACTCTTCAGCGGCTTCTTCGTAAATCAGAAGGGTAGCAAGTCAACCTGATTGTCAACCGTCGGTTCATGTTGCATGCAGGCATTCCTGTCTACTTCGATTGGATCAAATACATCTCTCCCATGCGCTATAGGTAACCCACACATGTCATCCTGCTGTTGCTGCTGCTGTACTCGTCTGCTGTTATCACCGACTTCACCTTTCTTCCCAGCCCCCGTTCTCTCTCTGTCTCTCGGCCCCTCTCTCTGTCTCTCTCTCTGTCTCTCTGTCTCTGTCTCTCTCGCTCTCCCCCCCCCCCTTCCCCCTCTCAATCTCACTATTTTCGCAGCTTCATGGCTTTCATGCTGAACGAGTACACCGGTCACTCTCCTTCGCTTCCGTTGAATTACCAGCGTCTCATGTCGAGCAGGTCTGAAGCTCAAGTGCGATGATAACGAGCTTGTCGCTCGACCCTCTTGTCCTCTCTTGAAGGTTCCAACAGCAAGTCTCTCCTCCATACTGACCTCCAGCCCTCACAGGCCGGCACCGCCACCTCCCTTCCTGTCTACAAGCCCTGCTTCTGCCCCGTAGTGGATGGAGTTCAGGTCCTGCTTGCTCAAGTCTTGCTAGGGTCTGATGCTCGTGTAGGTGTTGAATCAGATGGGAATGACAGGAGACCTCACGATCTGGTTCCGCCTCTCCTCCTCCTCCTCCTCCTCCCTCCCTCTCATCATCATCATCATCATCATCATCATCATCATCATCATCATCATCATCATCATCATCATCATTATCATCCTTCTGGTCTCCTCCATTGCTCTGCCTTACATCTTCCTGCCTCGCCTCCTCCACCACCACTACCATCATCGCTGCTGTTGTCTTGACTCTGCGAGCAGGGAGAACGTCGGTGTCCTGCTAGGGCTGTGGTGCGGCTTCATCATCCTCGCCTTCCTCCTCTTGCACAGGTACGCGAGCAATCGCGAGCTCTGCGGCTTGACAGGTGGAGCAGACTGGTGGTGACGAGGGAGAGGCAGCGAGCGAAGCTGCTGTCCAACGACTCGTGAAGCAGCAGCGACTTGTGGGAGCGAGTGAGGAAGTGAAGTGAGCGAAGCAGGAGGATGTGAATTGAGGGAGAATCAAAACTTTCAATGAAGGACAAGGCGGAAGACATTGGGGTGTGATGGAGTTTGGTCGAGATACAAACACACCGTGCAGGTTTCTGTGTGCCGGGAAAAGGAGTGACAGGAACAAACACGTTCCAAAGGAAACAGCGGAGATGTCAACATCTGTTACAAGAAGACTGTATTGTTTGAGAGTGGCAAGAGGCAAGAGACAAGCAGCGAGCCGGAGAGATTTCGACCTACCGCAGAGTCTGCAGCGCTCAGACGCCATCGGCGAACAAGACAACCTTGAGTCCTTCCTCGAGCCGAAAGGAAGCAGATCGATGTGGGCTGAGTAACTGATGAGACGGTCCGGCATGCAAGAAGAGGAGTCGAAGGCCAAGGCGGTAGAGAAGGAAGGTTGGAGGGAGTGAAGGAGGGAGAAGGAAGGCTGGAGGGAGTGAAGGAGGATACCTCATGTCGACGTTGCCGTCCTTTCTCAAGATCCCGAGCGCCTTGACTGATGTCAACGAACAAGAAAGACTACAGCATCTCCTCTGCTCACCACAGCCTTCTTGCTCATGGCAAGCTCGGAGATTTGACCGAAGGTCCTTTCCTCCATCGTCAACCCTACAGCAGCCTCTCCTCTCCTCCTCTCTCTTCTTCCTATCCTCCCTCCCCTTCCCCTTCCCCTTCCTCGCAGACAGAGCTCTTGCCTGATGGAGCCGGAGGGTCCGAAGAAGGAGGCGTCAACAGCAACGATCTGGCAACTCAGAATCAGTCCTGCTGACCAAGGCATTATAAACTCGTCCCGTGTTCTTTCCACGTCCACTTGCCCTCTATCCTCCCCTCAGTCTCTTTTGCCTCTTCCTCCAGCTCCCCTCCCGTCCTCTTGATTCACCTCCGATCCTGTGGCGTCGAGGAAGTCTTGATACACTGAATTCACTTCTGGGTTCCACAGCACCTGCACATTCAGCATGAGTTCCTCCGCCCCCTATCTTTTTCCCTCCTCCCCCCTCCCCCCCTCCCTTCTCCTCCTCCCTCCTCCTCCCCCCCTGCCTTCTCTCTCTCCCATATCTTTCGCTTCCCTCATATTCCTCCCTCTTCCCCCCGCCCCTGGTCCTCCTCGTCTAGCACCTGAACAAAGGCTCCGGCTTCCAAGTAGGAAGTCTGTACGCATTGGATGTGCACGCCAGGGTTGCTCAAAGCGAACTGAGAGGGAGAGTGAAAGTGAGGAGAGAGGAGGAGAAAATGAGGAAGGGAATGGAAGCAGAAAGAGAAGGAGGGAGACAGGAGAAGTAGGAGGCGAGGGAAGAGAAACAGGAGGGGATAGGATAAAAGGCAGAAGGAAGACAGGAAGGAGAACATGGGTAGAGAGGGAGAGATTCTACCTTCTCTGCCAGGCTGCAGGTGAGAGAGTTCTGGATCTCTGCGATGATCTGAAGGGGTTTCGTGTGCCCCTGACTGCTGCGAGTTAGGGAGGGAGAGAAGAAGAGGAGGAGAGGGGCAAGAGGAGGAGCAACTGATCTACCTCTTCCTCGCTTCGAGCACAATCTTGGTAGCAGCAAGCACACGAGCCTGGGTACAAGTTGAGCGAGCAGGAGCAGCATAGAAGGAGGAGATGAAGAGAGGGGAAGTGACAGGAGGAGACGATTACATCTCTCTCCCCAGCTGTCAAGGATTCAGACTTGCCATCCTGCAGAGCTCGAAGAATTCAGCAAAAGATTAAACAAATCTGAAAGGAAATACCGCCTGTGAGAAACAGTCAGAGCGGGTAAGGGTGACGAGGAAAAATGAAGAGGAAGGCGGAGGGATGAGGAAGAGGCAGCAAGGGTCTTCACCGGAATGATGATTGTCTCGATGTCGTGCAGGGGAATCTGTTGATTTGCATTAAAACGTGATATTGCGAAGTCCCTTCTTCCCCTGCCCCTTCCCTGGCTTCTCATGTCTTTTCCTCCCCTCCCCTCCCCTCCCTTCTTTCCTCTCTCCTCTTCTTCACTCGTCTCTTGCTGTTTATACAGTACCTTCTTCACATCTGACTTGCTCAATGAACTTCCCTGAATGTGCTTGAACTTGGCGTGATTGGGCCTATTGCACCAATTCATCACCGTCAGAGACAGCAACAACGTAGAGATCCAGAAAGAAAGGAACGGATACAAAGGAGTGAAATCAGTTGTAATTAGAAGAGGAAAGAACAAACCAGAAGATAATTGGGTCCGGATGAACAGCAGTGACTGATGATCCTCTACTCATGGACATGTAATTTTGTCTGGAACCCACAAGAATTTTCACAAGAATTTTCACCTGGGCAGGATGTTGTCGATCTCGGAAAGAATCTCTCCGTCACGATCCAGATTCAGAACCAACACATGCTGAAGGGCAGGTGTGAGCACTCATGGTACAATAAGATCACAGTCTTACACACAGTTTTCAACAAGAAAGAAACAAAACAAGTCAACAGAGGAAATCAATTCAAATCTTCTTGTAAGCACGCAAGACAGGAAAACATGTCAGAACCTTTGGGTCTGCTCTAAGAGCTTGTTCGACATCTCTGACGGCTGGACTCCATGCCGCATCCCTAGCGCAAGTTAAAGTTACAAGAAAAAATACAACCTTATCGCACGAACTTTGTTTGCGCTGCTCGCCGCCAACAAGTGATCTTGTCGTTTCTATTGCACAATCGGTAAGACCTTGGGCAGGGCAGTGAAGTCACACACTTGGACAGGATCACCAGCTTGCTCTTCTCCGGAAGAATCTCATTTCCTGCAGACGAAGCAATGAGATGCCGGGAAATAGCTGTAGCTAGCAGACCTGATGGGTTCATCATAACCTTTCCATCGCTCGTGATCCACCCCAGCAATACAGAATCGGGGAAATGAGCGCCTGCGAAGAGTTTGCAGTGAGATGAAGAAAAGAACAAGAAGAAGCTGTAAGAACAAGAAGATCGGAAACAACATCATCTTGGAAGGCAGAAATCAGAAAGAGAAGATAACGAATATGACGAAGGCACATGGAATATGCTCTGCATGATTCATTGACATCACCCATTTGTTTGAAAGATTTTCCTTGGAGCCATGGATACTGTCGTTTCTCGATCAACTTCGCTTGGATGAGACAACACAAAAATCTACAGTACCATCTCTGATGACCGCAGGTAAATTTCACTCCCCTGAAAGGCATCAACATGTCAATCTGTCATCGATCCTTTCCTTGACACCAACCTTCGATTGGTCGAGGATGTCGGTGTACACAGATGCGAGTCGCGGCTGCTTGCTATGAGAGAGAGCAAGAGAGAGTTGACAGTAGGTCATCACCTCGAGAGCTGTCACTGCCATGATTCGCCGTCTGCCACCACGTGATGAGAAGAAGAAAGAAAAGGAACAGAAACAAACTTACGAGAAAGAATTTTTGGTGACAAACATGAGCTCGTCCAAGTCTCTCTCTCCCTCCTACAGCAATTCGAGAAGAAATCCTATCAGTTCGCACAGTATGGCAGTAGCGATGAAAGTTACTGGATCGCAATCTGCAACGACGACCTTGATGTCGTTCTTGTTTGGTCCGATCTTCTTCCCAGGCTTCACAAATCTCATCGTTTGGGAGCAACAAAGGACAAGAAAACCTGTCGATCAGCCTGGAGAGCTTGCAGACAGGCAGCTTGCGAGATGAGATCAGCCTTGGATACACATTAGCACAGCAAATCAGAAGTAGCAACCAAGAAGAGACCTCGTCTTTTGTCTCGTCGGGCAAGATCAGGACATGCTAAGAATCAATTTCAGATGAACTAGAATCGTAGGAAAGGAAGTTGAGGCAGACTGATCCTAAAGCATCAAGCAAAAAAGAGGCAGAGGAGGAGGGCGATAAGGGAGGAGACAACCTGTGCGGCTCCAGCGGAAACCATGCGCAAGTCCGGGAGAGTCCCTAACAGTTCAAGTTCATACTCACAGACTCGTCAAATGCAGCATAGAGAACCAGGATTGCCTTTCCTCGTGAAAATGGGCAATGTGGTCTTTTCGAGTTGATCAGCCTGCCGATGATGTGTTCAGTTGCTGATATACGTCAGGGCCGGGCGGTACTAGCTCTTGATCCATTTCTTCCTTCTCTTTGCTTGCAAGGATCACGACAGGCTTCCAAAGTGTCAACGACCATGAACCCCGCCTTGTTGATCAAAAACACCTTGAGAGGAATTCGGCCATCGCTAGCAGCTGCTTCGATCTGGATTTGCAAGTGAGAAACCCAAATTGGCAGAGGTTTTGCCCTCAGCAACATTTTCTGACATTGTCGCACGTACAATATCATGTTTGTTGTGATACCTGTCGAAGCATTGGGATAGTTTTGTCGTTCCAGTTCAACATCACAATGTGATCTCGTTCCACAATCTGTATGAAATGTGAGTTTACATAGCCAGCACAAACAAATCCTTGCCTTGTGCGTTCCTGACAGGGCAGAGGACAAAGCAACCTGTCAAGCAATCAATCTAGGGTCGAACATGAGAAAGACAAAATGAGCAGATTCGAACCTCAATGGCTGATGTAATTGTTCCCAATAAGACCGCAAATGTCAGACACCCCTGACAATCAATCTGTGAGAAATTTCATGACTCAGGAACAATCTTGCAACCGTCACAAAGAGAATGTTGGCGATGAAAGCAGACTGAGGCTTCTCCTCGTCAACCACTGGACAAGAAGTCATTTCAACGAGCGAAGGTCGCCTACAAACCAGAAACTCCGGGTGCATTGTTGAGCAAAGCATCTGGAAAAGTGATGAGTTGAGCATCCTGGGTACGTTATTATGCTCTGACATGACTTGAACAATGCTGATCGCCAATTGGTTTCTCCTGTGACGAGACAGAGCCAAGCACCAAAAAATACCTGGTGGAAATGAAATCCGAATCAACTCAGAACAGATTGAACTGAGGGGTAACAAACCAGAGCAGCAGAGAATGAAAAGAACATTATCAGCTTGGAGAATACATTCGCAGTAAGCAACTGTTGAGATCCCGTCCTTGTAAACCAGCGCACACCAACTTCAAAGGACATTTACCTGATTGACCTTGTACGTCAACAGATCTTGGAATTCCGCATAGGATTCTGTAATTCTGCCAGATCAAGTCAACACTTTGACTCGAATAATTCTTTTCACACTCACCTCTCTGGGATTTTCAGAGCTGCAAAGATCCCCTTGCATGCAAAGTGAGGAGAGGACGACTTCTTCTAAAGTTTGCTACCTTCCATTCTGTCGCCCTGTAAACGAGGCTGTCTGCCACGATATCTTGCCTGAACAAGACGGTAACCAAGAGGCTAGTATTTGCCAAGGAGAAGGATGAAAGACGAGATAGATTCAGAAGGAGCACGAGATAGATTCATCTTGATCGCAGACAGGATGGTGCGATTGTTACCTCGCGGAAAAAGCTAGGCCATCGGGGATGGCAACCTTCAGGAGTCAAGAAAACAATAAACAATATCAGTAGAGGCATAAAGCATTTCATTTGGTACATGAAGAATTTCATTTGGTACATGGCAAACGATTCACAGGCCTGGATGAAATTCCTACCTTTCTGCCAAGTGGTGATCCAACCACTGATGTCCTCTGAAACCATCGCCGGAGGAAACTATCATTCGGAACAAACCACCACAAAGCTTATGAAAGGAAGTAGTCATACCACAGAAGAAATTTCCTCCGAAGGGAATTCCTTGAGAGCTCAAGTCAGCTATGGGCACCTGACTTTCGTCTGCTTCTCATCCTCCCATCCGTGTGCTATCTACCTCTTCGGAAAATTGATTCCTCACCTTGAAAGCCGCCGAAACCGATGAAGGCTGCGAGGGCGTTACTTTGTGGAAGGAAATATGGTATGCATCTACCTTAAACCCGACACTCAGCAACATGAGTGCAATGGAAAGAACAAGTCTTGGTACACTGAAGGCAAGTGTCTTTGACCTGGGTGGATTAACGAGAGGAGAAGACGTGAGTTGATGGCAGTCGGCAGGAACTTCTCATTACCTGACCATTTTCGATTCTTCAACACCATGTACATGCTTAGAAAAGGCGCTACATGCCAGGTTGTGAAGGCCTGCTACCCGCGGGTGATTCTTCAGTGTAAGAGAAGCAGCGATCTTCCTCTGGGTGAGGAGCGGAGGAGCAGGGAGAAACCCTGTGCACAATAATCAGTGTTATCCTCCTTGTTCCAAACTTGTTTCTCCTCTTCAATGGTATCTGAAGCCCCACACATCTTATAGCTCGCTCTGGCTTCGAATACGGCACGTACGCACTTGTTCTATTACTGCATACTCGCCTTTTCTTGATCTTTGAGTGAGTGACACATTATGAGATCTCCTTTGAATCACTATCAGAGCGTCTGCCATCTCCCTTCTTCCTCACCTCTCGTTACATCTCTGCTCCCCCCACCCCCTTCCCCTTGTTGACTCACCTGCACCTTTCACAACCAACATGGAAGGAGATCCGGCACAACCCGTTCACCCCCACCCTCTATCACTCATTTACTACCCTCCAAAAATCAGTTTAGTACCCACCCTTTGCTATGGTAGATAATCTGACCTGATCTTTCCACCCACCCATTTTCATCACCCCGATGCGCCTCTGGGTACTCATTTCGGATTCCTTGGTAAATTTGTAACGGTTGTAACATCTATACGTTACTTCCGTTGTGATGAAGGTTGCAGGGCAACCAAGGACCCCTACCTTCCCCCAAAATTTGAAAGGTACGGTCCCATATGTATCTCAGAGGGTACCCAGCCTACCCCACCCATGGCGAGACCCTCCACGACCCACCCACCCCCATGAACGAACAACACCTGAAGTTAGAGATCACCTACCCCTTTCCCAACACACCAATATTTCTTGCAATTCACCCCCATGACCCTACCCATACACCAATTTTCTACCCCATGGTGAATCATAGTGGTCGGAAGCCAAGTACCCCTGTGGGTAGGCAACCCCTTCTTATCCACTACCCCTACCCTCATTTCAAGCTCTGTTGAAGTTCAACACCGCAAACCCACCCCAGGTTCGACCACCCAGTCGCCCATAGATCGAGTACCGGGTCGTTTTAAATTGTTTTTGAGGAGATCTGGAGGGTACTTGTACCCACCTCATGTAGTTGACCCACCCTTTCAACGATTTCTACAGTCTACGGAGCTAGTAATAGTAGCAGGGGTAGAGGGAAGGAAGGTGGTAGGGTAGATGGGGTAGAGATTTTATCTCAGAAGATGGTGGGTATGCTTCTCAAGGTGGGGTGACCTCATGAAGGAGGAATTCACATCAGGGGTGGGGTACAATCAGCCAGGGTGTGCAAACCATTTAACATCACAAGCAGGGTGGGTACAAGCCATTTGGTTCCCAGTTGTGATGAGGGTCCGGGAGTATAAGGCAATTTTCAAGAAAGTGTGGTAAATGGGAGGGTAGGGGTACAATATGAAGTAGTGCGGTAGAGGACTGATAGGGTTTGTCTGGGTGATCGGGTTGAGGGGTGGGTATCAGGAGAAGTGGTGGTGCAAATCTGAATTAAAAGAGGGGTAGGTGATATGGATATCACCAATGGGTGGGGTAGCAGAAGTGTAGTCTTGTTCAAATGCAAGGGGGTGGGTGCTAATCCTGTGGGGGGGTTGGGGGTAAAGCACGCATCCTGACGGTATGCCGAGAGGAAGCTGAAAGTGGGAAAGATGCAGGAATGAATAATGGTCAACGTAGATGACGAAGAGAATAGGGCAGAAGAGGAATGAAGTCAAGATAAGGGGAATGAGAAGCAATGCTATGTGAAGAAGTATGGCATGATGGGTTGAAGAGGGAGAGATACGAAGGAATCGCTCTCATTGGGGGGGGGGGGGTTAAGAAATGGGACAGGGGATCGGGGAGAAATGATGTCGCTGCTAGCAACGATTGAAGTATCGTATCACTTCTATGGAAAGAATAATCGCCGATCAAGAAATTACTATAGTTGACATGAAATATGTTATTGGAAAACTTTGCGTTCGGAAACTCTTGTACATGTGATGGGGTTCGTTTAAGATGACGAGTATGCTGTTGAATGCTGGAGAGATAAGCCTACATCAAGTACAGGACATGTTGATGGGAAGATTAGGTTTTAATGTGGCTCCTAGATCTGGGGATTCGATGAGCTGAATGAGCCGGTAATGGGCGTAGCCAAACAGGAAAGCCAAAGCACCGAAAGTTATCTGAGAATAGGCATATTTTCATTTGTTTGTAGAAGTTCAAGCCGAATCCGCATAGTTTGGAATTGGAGAGTTTATGCTGTGAATCTCATCTAATCGATTGTGCCATGTGCTAGCTCCTGCAATTCTTGGAACATGTTCTGGCGGGGGTTCGCGTCTACGTCAACCGTGGACCTGGTGATTCCTGGACATTCTTTGATGAGCGCGAGTGGCTGATTTACATGCTTCAAGCTGCTTGATAGCGAGAATTGCACGCTGGAAGAATTGTTGAAAGACCAGGATCTTATACAGGTGATGACGGGAGGATGTGAAACAAAATTGAAAGGCCTGCCAGGAATGCAAGCAAAGAAATCAAAAACTTTTGAATTTGTAAGTCAGAGTTCTTTCGAACTTGAAATTTTGTGTAGTTGGACTTTGTTTTGAACACAATCTTAAAAATGTGTATGCTCTGACGAATTTTCAAAGTTTATCGAATCCTACGGAGCTTGAAGCTTTGGTGGGATATGTCGTAGACCCTGCTCCTGAAGATGCGGATGAACTCAGAAGAATTGTATTTCCCTGCAAGGTTTGCATTTTGGATCCATCTTGGGAGCATTTCTTTCTTACGAGTGGTCAGGCATCGGAGATCTTGTCATTGAACTCTGCATTACAAGTTTTGCTCTTGAATGACGAATCTTTAACTTCAAAGCTTATGAATATGATTGCACAAGGGGTAAGATTCATTTATTTGGAATTTGTTTTCTTGGACTGTGAAGACCTGTATCGTTGACTCGTCACTGTCCAGGATGACAAATTTAACGAATTCACGGCCTCGAATTACAGCAAGGTAGACAAGAATTCGATTGGACTACAAGTTATCTTCTTGCCTTGTGATGCCAAACATCAGATTCTATGCTCTATACTCAACTTTCGTCCTGACAAAGCAATTATTGCTGTACATTCCGCTGGTTGTCGTATGTGGAAATTTTGTGGATGAAGTAATGATTATCAATTCAGGAATTGCACAGCATATCTTCGAATACCTGCACTTAAGCTCTATTCTTGATTTGCTGCTTGCAGTATGATACTCGTTATATCTTGTTACCTTGTTTTGAATAGTAAGATAGATAATTCATGAGTCGGATGCTATGCTTTCTCGGGGCAATCTTGAAGGTATTTACGGTTGTGAGTTTGCATCTGACGTTTGTGCTTGATTAAGACGACATCCCAAATCTGATAACGGAGGCAAATATGGTGCAAAGATTGATTTCCAGATTGAGTCCAGAGTATCCAGTTGAGGTAGGTGTTTATCTAAATTGTGCGGTGTGGTCATTTTACCACACAATAATTCAATGTGACAGGTTCACGAGAATTCGAGTTTGGCTTTGGTCACCCTTGTCTGTGCTGTAAGCATTCTCGTGGTGTCTTTACGAGTCATTTACTGCTGGCATGCAGGAGGCATGCTCTGGAGATATCTTCTTGCCGGAAAATGTTCGATCATTTCTTTCTATCAGGAACGTGTTTTGTCCTGTTCCTGATCGAAATATATCTTAGGTGGATTTTTTGTTGAGTAAGACATTGGGGGAAAATGAAAGTTTAGCGGACTGCGATGAGAAGAGAGCATCTGTTTTAAAATGTGGATTGCAAGTTGTGCTTGAATTCGTGCGACAAGGTTAATTGGGTATGATTTGAATGATGCAGAATTGATGTGGTGTGGCAGGACATAAATTGAATGAGGGCCAGGACGACGAACCGTTTAACTTTGAGTTTGATGTATTGCATGTTGGTCAATTGTGGACTACTTTGAACTTCCCTTTCCTAGGATGTCTTCTGCCGCACTCCAAGTAGTATTCCGAAGAAGCAAGTGGTATCTTGAAATTGATTGTTGTCATTAAGCGTTTGACTCAAATGTAATGAAAGCGAGGGGATACCGGGGGCGTGCAGAAATCACAAGCATTCAACGTTGCATTGAAGCAGGTTCAATTTCACGAAGTTTGCAACTTTTAGTTATTTATTTGTAATTTCACTTGCCAGATTATGTTGAGAATTAGAGATGTGATCCTGATTTTGAAGAATCCACCAAGACTTCAGAAGATTGTGAATTCGGTTACAACTATAGATCCACCCTTGGGTTCTGTCAGATTCAAAATCGTCGAGCTGATCCATCTTCTTGTACTTCTGGACAACATTGATGTTTATTCTGCTTTGGCCGAACATGAAGCTATCCCAATATGTTTGCAATTATTCTTTCAGTATGAGTGGCACAACATGTTGCATAATTTGGTGCAGAAGATTTTGGAATTCGTGGTACACTCCGAGGAATGTCTTATCTTACAGAGGACTATCTTTGAAGAAGCGGACTTTTTGAATCGCGTTGTAAAGGCCTACGCACTGAACGAATCCTATTCTAAACAGCCGAAGACCTCAAGAAAGGTCAAAAGACATTCCGCTGCAAAGTCGTACCCAGTTGTAAAGTGAATGTACAGGGATACATGGGCCATCTGCGAGTGATATGCAACATGATTATGCAAGCGTCATCGTCGAATAGAATGATTGAATCGCATGTTAGTGAGGTGTACCATTCCCACATCGATTGCTTCACAGTTTTGACGTAAATCATTTGTAGCCGTTTTGGAAGAAATTTCTAGAAGAAAATCCTGAGATTCTCGTCGACTTCAAGGATTCAAAGCAGGTGGGATGTACCCTTGGCCCAAGCAAGCAAGCTAAAACCTTTCAGGGGTTGGCACCGAACAGCATCGAAAGAGAAGTTGATGGGCAGGAGCTAGAGGTAATGCGAGAATTCTACATTTTGTAATTTGTAGAAGTTTGTTGGTAACAGTTTGCAGGACGGTGACTTCGAGTCCGGGGTTGCTTCAGCCGCAAGTCTGACAGAAGCGTTCGACAACGAGGTATCGCAACTAGCCGCAAGTTCTCGTTTCCCGCTCGCCCTCTCTCATCTTTTTCGCAGGACTCAGTCGTTATCGAAGATCAGATTGAAGAGCAGCGGTCTGATATGCATGCAGAATGTGAGGGAATTAAGTGCTTGTTCTCCATGCATGACTTAGTGCAGCGTACTGCCCTGCATCTGATCCCAGCAACATGGTGGATGACATAGCTCAGCCTCACGCCCCTCATAACTATGGTGATGCACGTTCAGCATTTTTCTCTTTTCTTTAGCGACTTACATTGACATAAGGAGAGAGCGTCGAGAATTCAGTTGAATCCAACAGACATGCAGAAGATCTCGGTAAGAACCTTGTTCTGACAAGTAACTCTCATCGCTCACTGTACTTGCGCCTTCTTCCTCAGCAATTCATCAAGCTGTGGATGGGATGAAGACGGTCTTACAGTCTTGTTGCTAGTCTTCGTTGCTGAGTAGGTTGCAGGGCAAGATCGCAGCGAAAGTTGAAATCGCAGTGAGAATGGATGGTGATATGCCTGTTGCTACAGCTCAGGTATAGTTCGAATTTTACTCCCTTCATTCTGTCTATTCTTTCCCTTCAACGTAGTGCGATGTATCAATGCTCTTCTCAAAGCATGGCAGATTCAAGTCGGCTATCACTAACAGGTGGAGTGTTTTGGGGAGATGTACATACAACCTACGCTTCTAGGACGTAGGAATTGCTGGCCATGGGTTATTTCGAGGGTTGGAAGGGCTGAGGGAGAAATGAGGGGAGATGAGACTGAAAATGTTTTTTACACGCTCAAAACGTCTTGTCCTTTTCATTCTCTGGGTATTTTTTTCGAACCATACACACTTTTCCGCATTTGGTATCCTAATGCACACCTTAGAAGTTTCCTGACTTGGGGCAGAAAGCTTTGGAAGGGCAGGACACCGCGTCGCCGAAGCCTGGATGTACTAGTCATACCGGGAGGCAAGTGCAGTACAGGAGATCACCAGTGTTATAGAAGCCCCATCCACCCTCAGGGGGCTCGTTCCAGTTGTCCTCCGCGTTGCCATCAGCACAAACCTGTCAGGGAGGATCAGCTCGACTCTAACCGTCAGGGTCGCCAAAGCCTTACCTCGACCCCTCCCTCGGTTCTCTTGTACTTAGCAAGGCAGTCGGCCAAGGGCGAAACGCCCATGCCGAGGCCTCCGCCCGAAGAAAAGCCGGTGGCAGCCAGAGAGGCAAATTCACGGATATCTAGATCACAAGGTGGTCAAGGGCGTTGGAGATCATGCGCAATGTGCGAACAGTTTATGCATATGAACAAGCCCTGCTGCTAACTAATCATCGTTTTCATCATATGTGACTGAAATGAGAGATAATTCACACAAGGCCACGATTTCTAGCGACCTTTCTTCCTCACTTACGACCTGAACACGAGACCCGACCTTCACGATATTGAGCAGTGACGGTGAACCACCATCTCATTTCTATGATTTCTGACTAAATGGAGCAATATTCTTTCTTTGTTCTTTTCTGTGCTGAAATTCACATTGGACGTCTGGAAGAACAACACGATGTCTTGTCTGTAGACGATATCCTCCCCCGTCCGATCCTACCGCAACTTCTTGTCTCCCCTATCCCAATTCACTTCTTGCCTAGTTTCGTCTTCGTCTTCGTCTTCGTCTTCGTCTCCCTGTTCCTGTTCCTGTTCCTCTTCCTTCGTATCCTCCCCCTCTTCTCTCCTCCCCCTCTTCTCTCCTCCTCTTCTCTCCTCATGTTGCTTTTGCCTGGCGAGCCATACCTGCGAACATCGCTGCTCTATTTCGGGCCCACCAACCTACCGTGACTGCTCATGCCCGGCCGGCGCCGCTCAGTGCGGCGGTGGGCCGCGGGCCAGGCCCGGCGGAAGTGCGGAACGGGCCCGGGACTCCGCCGGGAGTTTTCAGTGACTGAAGCTAGAGGTGAGCTCACCTCAGAGCCTGTGACAGGTTGTGGCTATGGCAGAAGCGGAAGCAGGGGGCAACGAGGATCAAGGTGAGGGCGGGGGGGGATGGGGGGGAAGAACACAGACACGTGATGGAAGTCTTGTTGGATGAGAAGATCTCTGTGATGTTTCATTGAGCTTGCACTTTCAAACTGAATGCACATCTGGTGACTGACGCACATGGCAGCCCCAGCCAAAGTCCTCAACATTAATGTAGGTGTGATGGGACATGTCGACAGGTGAAGTGATGCGAAGCGAACATGATTTTCATACATATTGCAGTGGGAAAACAAGTCTTGTTCGGGCGCTTTCAAAAACTCTTTCGACGGCAGCTCTCGACAAACATCCTCAGAGCCAAGAGAGGGGCATCACGCTGGACCTCGGGTTCTCATCATTCACTGTGCCTATACCGGATCACATGAAGACGGAAGCGCAGGATTATGACGTCCTTCAGTTCACTCTAGTTGATTGCCCTGGTCATGCTTCCTTGATCAAGACCATCATCGGAGGAGCTCAAATCATAGATATGATGATACTAGTGATAGACGTGACCAAGGGTGTCCAAACTCAGACGGCTGAGTGCCTTGTCATCGGCGAGATTCTCATGGAGAAGATTCTGATAGTACTGAACAAGATCGATCAGATCCCCGAAGAGACAAGAACCGAAAAAGTCGAGAAAGTGAAGAAAGGGCTAGAAAAGGTCGTTCCATATTTACAAACTCTCAGCTGTCCAACCATGCAGCAGGTCTTCGCCTCCACCAAGTTTAAGAATCCAGACATGGTTGCTGTTTCCGCCACGGGCGGCAGCGCCGATGCCCCAGCAGGTCTCAACATTGGTACTGCATGAAATGTGTATGATTGCTTTTTGCTTGACGATTCTTTCTAGATGTTCTTGTGGACAAGCTGAAAGGGATTTCTCGTTTCCCGCAGCGCATTATCACTGGACCATTTTACTTTTCCGTCGACCATTGCTTCCCTATCAAGGGCAAAGGGACCGTGTTGACAGGCACTGTTCTTAGCGGCTCGGTGCGACGAACCCCTTGCTGTGACCCGTTTGACAAGAGCTGCAGGTTCGTGTGAACGATGAGGTAGAACTTCCAGATCTTCGTTTGCAGAAGAAGGAATACAAGGATGCATGTTGAGACCTCTCATCTAAAACTTCGACAGATCAAGTCGATTCAAATGTTTAAGAAACCAGTCAACAAGATAGCTCAAGGAGATCGAGCTGGAATCCTTGTTACCCAGGTTTCATTTCTTACTTCCAGTGACTGATCAAGTTGACTTGTATCTTCTATGTGAGTAGCTCGATGCGAAGTTGATAGAGAGAGGGGTCCTGGCCACTCCTGGTTCTGTTCCAAGTTTCAGTGCAATCGTGGCTTCTGTTGAGAGAGTCCGATTCTTCAAGGTACCAGTCCTGCCTGAGTCCATGATAAGTGTGATGGGTTGTAAGGGAACTGCTGGAAGCAAAAGGAAGTATCACATAACGATTGGACACTCGACCATCATGGCGACAGGTTGTTCTCCCTGTGCCAGTCTTTCCTGCCATGACTTGCATGTCTAGCCATCTTTTTCCGACAACCAAACCTCGAGCCAGCAACGGTACGTGACGCTCTGCTGCAACTGCTGTTTCTTTGATCTTGCAATACCATCTCCTGAAAAGACCTTGTTTTTCTCTGCCTTCCAGCCTCTCTCCTTTAGTGTCAAACTTGCTCCCAGTTGTGCGTTGAGAAAGTTTCCATTGCTTTCCCTGCTGGCCTGCTCATCACAGAATTCCTATGCAATTTGTGATAGATTCTTTTCAAATATAGTCCTACCTTCACTTTTGGTATTCATATTTCTGAGGATGGTTTTTCAAATTTCACAGTTTGATATAACTAAAGAATATCTGGTATCAGAAGAGCTGATTCAGGTCCTATGCCCCATCCAATTTCTGTGGAAGCGTCATGACTGTATTTATTCAGTCTGGAGCTGACTGTGAGAGCGGCTCACAATGGGTTCTCCTCCTTTTTGAGAAGGTTGATGCCACTGGATCCTGTTGTCGTGCTGACTCGAATCAGGTCGTGACGGCGCCAAAAGACTCAATGCTCATCGGCTCCCTTCTCGACACAGTTAGCCTCCTCAATTCGAGGCTTCAAAAATGATGGCATGAGGCAGGACATTCACAGCAACACTTGCAGAATTGTGTTTTTTGGGAAAGCTCTCATTGTGATGGATAAGGATAACAAAGATGAATTGAGCAGGTGTGAGGGAATCATGTCTCCTGCAACTCACCATGAGAAACTTTCAATGTTTCCAGGTTGAGATTGTTTAAGCCGAAGCAAAAGGTCGGGCATGTAAAACGAGTGGTCGACGAAAGTGTTGTGATCGGTGAGACATATTAGCAACTTGTCTGACAACAAACTTAAATTGCTTTCTGCAGGGAAGGATTTGTTCAAGAAGGAAACAGATATTTCCAAATTTATGAACCTCAAGATCACCTTGGAAAAAGAGACAGAGAAGGCAAGTCTTGTCCTATTTTCTTGTCTCGCTTTCTCTCACCGAATGCCCCTCAGCTGCCTGGGTACATCGAAGGATCCTTCGGGTCCAGCGGACAGTATAAAGTGCGTGCTCGTCCTCGCTCCTCCCCCGCTAAGACTCCTCAGGTCAGATGCACACAGCCTCACGGGCTCCCTGTGAGCCGAGGGAAGGGGAAAGGAAAGGCTAAAGGGGAAGACGAAGACGAAGACACAAACTTGGTATTCGTGTAATGTCATGAATGAGATCTAATTTGAGATGCAGGCGATGTGTAAGATCGTGCTGAGTTTCAAGAAGTTCATGTTCGATAGTACAAACGAACGAGGAAGGATAATACAGTGATACACTGTGGCATGACCATGAACAAACACATCAATGTACAAATTTTTTTGACATGCTTGTCTTCTGCGCTCGAAGGAGTTACGTCGAGAAATCCATTGTTCTTCAGCAGCTTGAAGTAATCTTTCCTTGTTCTCAAGGGCCTCATCATCCTATGAAATAAAGCCTCCAGCATTTTTTACTCTTCAATCTTGGGACGAGAAATAGAGTCCCCATTCACATAAGTGTATGTTCCAAGAACAGCTTCAGCAAGGCCAAGAGCATTCACCATCCAGTCGGCAAGAGCAAACCTGCAAGAAATGAGACGAGAAGGGGATGTAAAGTAAGTCGACTTGCTCTTCTCATCTAACGTCCAGTGAATAGCGTTGGGAAGGTACAAGACGAGACGCAAGGTGTAACGGATTAGCGATCTTCTGCTCCGTTCGATCTTGGCCTAATGACAAGATTCAAGGATAAGAAAGACAATCACCAGGGAGCATGCAGCTTGAGTCTCTCACTTTGTTGTTAGCTGTAAGCGATCCGTTCATCTTTAGCTTTGTCTCCATCCGTTTCAATTCTTGCCATCTTCGATGTGTTGCGTATATGTCAATCACAATCCAAAGCACCCAAAATACGCAAGAAAGCCGGGAAAGAGTTGCCACGTCAAGAGGGAAGAGCTTGGGTGCAATAGTTCCCGCCCAAACTGCATGCTCCAGGGGGTAGTATCCCAGCATGGTGTATGATTGGAGGATAACGCATCGTCGGATGACATTGTCTTTCCAACCACCCACCCTGCCCAGTTGTTTAGATTTCTTGAACAACGGTAAAGTTTATACCAGCTGCTGTTAATAATGTTGTCAAGCTCTGATGGAAGGCCGAAGGGGCTGCCTCCCAGCCTTGTCGTCACCCGGTACATAGAGAAGTGGCTTCCGAAGAGCTTCAGCGCCTCTGAAGCCTCTCATCATTCTTCTGGAATCTACTTCTCACACTGACCTTTGAGAGTCTGAAGGCGATGAGGGCAAGTCTGAGCGACTAGAGGCAACAGGTAGGACGCTATCTTCATCGCCTTGTCGTAGCCCCACACGCTTCCACTCCGATCCAGCCATGCCGACATTGCCCTGCGCACAGGTTGGGATGGCCCGTTGCACTTTCATCTCCGAGGCTCCGAGCATTCGCGGCTGGGCCGGGGCCCGGACCGTACCGTGGGCCGCCTCCGAGGCTCGGAGCCCGCCGGCCCGGGGAGTCCGGGCCGCACGCCGGTCCGCCGGGCGCCGGTCGGCCCATGCTCGATCACAGGCTCAGTGAGTCATCGACTACTGACTCGGGTCGGACTCAGTCACTCGGATGATTTTAATAGCGACCCGCCGGGTACCGTACAGTGAACTTAGTATCATGGCTGGAGCCTCCGAGGCCGATGCCGGCGGCCGCGTCCTGCCATGGCATGATGGCCGCCTCACTGGCGGTTACTAATCCTGCCAGGCGGCGGAGGCTCCGTGGCCGCCGCCGCAGTGCCCGGCTGGCCGGGCCGCCGAGTGCTTTCCGAAGTTCTAAGTTTACAGTAGTCACGGCCCGGGTCAGTGACGCCCGAGGGGCTCCTCACACTGACCTTTGAGAGTCTGAAGGCCGCATGAGGCGCTGGCCCAAGTCCGGCCGGGCCCGGCGTCCCAGTGAACGAACCGCACGGTCCGTGCTTGAACCGTCGGTGAGCGACTCAGTAGAGGCAACAGGCCCTAGTAAAGTAGGACGTTAGGCTCGGGTCATGCCGATATTGCCCTGCGAACAGGTTGGGATGGCCCGCTGCACTTTCGCTGAGATGATCCGAGTCTGGGCCCCGGCCTAGCCGAATCAGGCTCCGACGGCGGCCCGGCGGGAGTCCCGGCGTGCGGGCCCAGCCGGGCCATGCTTGAAATTAAAAATCAGTACGAGGACAATCAGGAGAGTGACTCAGACTTACTGATCCTGGCCCGCGGCCACTCAGCGGCTCGCCCCATGCCGTTGGTCCGAGGTCCCAGTACCGTCACCGACGGTACACTGAGTGACGGAACCGTTCGGAACAGCGGCGGCTGGCAGTCACGTACGGTCACGCCGAGCCTGATCGGACGCCGGCCCGGCGGGGGCCCAGAGGCCCAGCCTCCAGCGACGGCGCGCCAAGCCACCGCGTGAGGCGCCGGCGCCGCAGTCCAACCCGGCCGCGGGCGGCCGCGCCGGGCGGGCCGGCCCGGGGCCGGGCCGGGCCGCAGCGCGGCGCGGCGGCCGGCCGCCGCTCACGTCGTTTACCCCTATCGTGTTCCGAAGTTCGAATGAAAGTTTTACTCAAGGTTAAGTGCGAGTTTGACTGTTCGCATTCCCCGGGCCGTGACTACCGGTACCCTCCCCTGAGTCACAATAGTAACTTCACTCAGCGAGGCTACATTCAACAACTTATTGCAGTTAGCCTAGAATGACAGGGGGTGGGGTGGGGTTACGATTCGGAATCTTCGTACTTCGATTAGGGTACGTGTCGTCGTGCAAAGTTGAAAATCTTGAATCAAAAGGTAGGGTACTCGCCATCGGTTACTACGGGACTCTCCGAGCAGTACTCCGCCAGTACAAATTAAAACGAGTTGAGTGTCTCATTAGGGCAACATGCCAAGAAAACTTGTTTGGAGGGTAGGGTAGTCTTGCAGGTCAGGCTTCTCCTTAGGAACATATTATATTTAAAAAAAAAAGGAACTGCCGGCACCTGCCAGGGTGAGAAAAGGGGGTCAAATGCAAATGATGCCAACCACCCTTCCTATGCCCTGCAGTGAAGGCCATGTGTAGGGTGGAATAAAAGAAATATACAGGGCAACTCCGTGTCATCGTGTAAAAAATTCAGAGATTTTTTACTCAATGACACCCGAAATAGCGAAAGGACATGAGAAGTAGTAGTAGTAGTGTGTGAGAGTAGTTTTCAGAGCGGCAAAAAAAATATGTTTTCAAGCCCAGCCTGAGGACGGTCACATGGTAAGCTTCGGAGGTTCCTTTAAATATACCGCCGCCTCCGAGTTCACTACTCCTTTTTGCAGCAGTACGAAGTCTCTCTGTACCAGGTCATTCAGTCAGCCCTTGTACATATGGCAAAATTCTCGCTTTTCACTACTGTAGGAATTGTATGTCACCAGTACATCTTTTGTACCTCCCCGTAGTACAGTTGTTGCGGTATTTCACTACCATTCATACGACCTCACCTTTTCTAGTACCATACTCCCTTCCTCACTACCACAAGGCTGCTGACAGAGCCCCCGTACCCTCTACCTTTGCCCCTCAGGGTGACCACAAATGGTAACTTCCTCAGGGGGTAGGGTCCCTTCTGCCTGGGGCATTGCCTGTCAGAGAACCGGTACCTCTGACTTATCAGAAGCTTCCTTGTAGGGTGGGTGGGTTACACCTCTAAGGAGATGGATCAAGAGGGGTGGGTAGTAGAAGGTGAAGAGGCAGATCGATGACTCCTCGAGAAGGGCCTACTAGAGGGTCTTCGACGATCCGCCCATTAACCTCCTTAACCTTATCCTCATCCACCCCTACCTCGTTCTTACCCTACCCACCCTCTCACAACATTTCCCTTTGTTACACTGGGGTTACCCTTGTACCCCATCCCACCTCTCGGAAATCCCTTGCCGTGCCTCGATTGTACTCGGACCCCACATTACGACCACCCACCCCAGGGCAGAGAGCCAGTTTCTACCCGAGGATATTCTCTGACCCTGCCTTTCCTCTGTTAACTGTAGATCACCCCACCCACCACCGAACTACCCACACCCCAGATCTCCATAGGGCCTAAAGGATCTGGTCCTTGCAACCCCAATTCATTGGGGTACCCCTTAGTATTTTTTTTCGTCCCGACCCCTACATTTTCCCACTTTTAACCCACCCTTCACAAGCAGAATTTGGACCCTACCCCTTCCGTTCTACCCATCACCATCCCACATTTCCTAGCCCTTCCAGCATGCCGCGCACAGGATGGCAAGCTGCTGGTCGATGTGCTTCCCTGGTTTGATTTTGTAGGTGCAAGCAGTGAGAAACAGTCTACTTGAGCTTAGCCAACTTTCTTCCTATTCTGCTCTAGCTTCCGTCATTGGAGACATGCGCTCGCTTTCCTGTCAATCTCTCGTTTTCGGACTGACGGTTGTCATCTTTCTTTCATGTAAATGTGCATATCAAACACGTCCTGTCTCTGATTAGAATTCTGCAGCATATGCGCGTGGGGCTCCCCTATCTGGAGGTGAGAATCTGGGATCCCTCTTCTTGTTTTGGACCAGGTTTCGATCTGACCGACCATAACAGCCCAGTGTCTGCAAACTGCTCCTCCGAATGCACAGATGGTCATCACCAATAAGGGAGGTTGGTTTCTTTGCATGTTACAGTTGTAAAACTTCCTGACAAACACTTGTAGTGATACCGTTTGTCTGCGATAATATCTCGACATGTCTGGACGGCTTCGGAAACCCCCCATCTGTGGAACAGTGTGTTGCTTTGGGAAAAGTAACGGCCGACTCGATCAAGTTGGACTACAATGCAACAAGTCCCGGTTCGAACAAGGTCCAAGTGTTGATTTCAACGCCCAGCGCCACGCTCTCATATTACATCTCCATCAACGATGTATTTTTGTGGGTTCGAAAGGCGAGGGAATACCTCAACGTATGTCGACAATATTCAGCATCGACGAATTTCACGTAAGTCAATACACCTGTTTTGCAGCGATATTTCGTTTTTTCTCTTACTTTTGGTGTGTAGGACATTTGGCTCTAGTCAAATTTTGCAAAATCTATGCCAGCGTTACCGAGACCCATCAACTGGTCTGAACACTTGCGAAAGTTTAGTCATGGATTCAAGATGCAAAACCAATGTTAACGAGGATATCTACACAATATTGTCATCAGCTCTTTGCTTGAATTCCAACAATGTGTGTTCCAACGAACAAATGTACCAGCAAACTTTCTGTTCATGCCCCTGTTGGTCAGAGATACGCCATGTCTTTAATGGAATTTTTCATCAATTGAAAGATTCGTTTCCACTTCTGGCTACAAAGTTGGACGGTCTGTCAAATCTTTGCCTGGCCAATCAACAGCAGAGCCTGCAAGTAAACGTTGTGGAAACGAGCGATGTACAATGTGCTACGAATGATGTCGTTTTCACGTTGAGTTCTACGTCTCGTATTCCAAAAGGGACCAATATCACAATCCGTGGCTTAAACGCCGACCTTCTTGTGGACTATCCTATCGTTGACAACTTACAAGTGGAGTTACCATGGAAGTTCATTCCTGCCAAATGCCACTCTTGGTGTGACATGACAAGCGTTCCATACTTAATGTATAACAAACCTGAATGCGTTGAATGGTGCGATGAAGACTCAATCATTAGTGTTCGTATGTTGTCAGATATTCCTCCGATTGGGCAGTTCACTCTCAAATTCAGATTCATTAATTCACCCTATTCAAGGATTGAAAGAAAGTTGAGCGTTGCAGCTTCAGGCCCAGAATTCAATTCTCCGATCACATCTGTCATTTACCAAGCTGGCATGCAAGGCGTTTTGGCTTCGAAGCACTCTCCAACATTCACAGCTGCTTCAGTACAAATTCCACCAAGTTCTTCCGATTTCTTTGATGGCAATGTATGGAGAGGAAGTTCTTGGGGAATGACCGTAAGCTTCCACTACAGCGTCACACCAAACATCGATCTACCTGCTGGATCCATGATAACAATCACGGGGTTCTTCACAGCGAAAGCTGACGTGCCTTCTCCTGTTCTATCAGGCCAATCGATCAAATTGCTCCGCACGACATCTTGGGATCCAAATGCTGGGGTCTTGTTGCTCGAGGTCCTCCCGGAAGGAACGTTGCCTGCCGGGTTGGCAACTCAATTTTCTCTAGAGCTTGACACCTCGAATCTTCATATGATGGACCTGGTGATGTTTCAATCGATTTCTGCAACGCTGCCTCAGAATGAAATGAATCAGTGGTGTTCACTTCCGCTAAAGAACTTCTCCCTCCCTCAGCTGACCTACACTTCCAACCCAGTCATCAGGAACCCCTCGTTGGACTCTTCGACTTGCGATCCTGGTGTCTGCTCCACTTTCGTGTTGAAATTTGCTGTGTCTGGATA